AAAAGATTGCTCATAGAGAAGTCCAGGTTAGGTAGGAGTAGCTAGGTCCTAGGACCCACCTTTTGGCAGGTTCTCACAGGTGTACAGGATTAGTAAACCTCCGCAACTGCCAGAGAAATGTGTTTAATTATTTTAAGAAAAATTTGACATGCTAATATTAAAGTTGTGCCTAAGTCATATTTATTTCTATTTTGCTTTTGTGAATGGGATCTTACATTTGCCTTTTTATAATTTCTAACTGGTTTTTACAGGTAGAAAAATGTTGATTTTTAATTTTTTTTCTATCTACCTACCTTATATTTGTCTGTTTTCCCCCTTTATTTTGAATTCTGACTAAAGAGTTTTTCAGATGTTTCTCTGCAAAAACTGTCTGCAATAAGGTCATTTGCAGATGATAACTGTATCGTCTTTCTACAAATGAAAAACAGATGCTTCTGTTATAATCCTATAAGTATAATGCTGTTGATCTAAAATGATGAGTCTTTTTCTTTGTTAAGAAAGTGTCCATCTATTTCTAATTTGTAAAGGGTTTTGAAAAACAAAAACAGAAGTGAGAGTTATCCTCAAATTGTACTGTCATTGCTGAGGAGTAAAAAGTTCAGAAGATTTCTAGACAGGGAAAGGGAGAATTTGCCTAAGAAAAATATACTTTTGTTTCCACAGGCAAAAATTCTGATGAAAGGTAATAAAGAACATGATGGAAAACAACAGTGTATTTTTTTTACATCTAAACTCCTGATTTCATTTCTTTTCAAGTTAGTGCTTGATTCTTGGTAGTTCTTAGTAATCCTTTCCTAAAGTAACATGCAAAAAGTCATTGGGCCTTTCTTTTCTACATTTCTACTTTTTACACTAGAGAATCCGCTCAAATGGCTTATTTCTCACTTTGCCTAAACCTAGCACTGCTTTCAAGTAAACCAGGGTCTTCTACATAAATCAACTTTGTCACTTTTGTATTAGTAGACATCAAAGACAGAATTCAGTGGTGCTTTAAAATATATATACTGTTACTTTTTTCCTTACTTCAAAGTAATTCTTTATTTGTTGTAGAAAATTTAAATATTATCCGTAAGTGGTTCATTGAAAATAAATCCCATCAGCTCAGAGATAACCACAATTTACATGTTTGTGAATATTCTTCCAGGTTTCTTTCTTTGCATATATACATACCAGGAGACTTTTTAAAAAGTTATGGAAAAGTTAAATGAAAAGGTAAAAATTAAAATATATGTATTCTATCTCATAACATAAGCTCCCAGTTCCAAGATACTTTTGTAAGCAATGATTGTTGTTGGTGTTGTTAAGTGCTGTCGAGTTGGTTCTGACTCATAGCAACCCTATATAGGGTTTCCGAGGAGCAGCTGGAGGATTTCAACTGCCAACCTTATATACCAGCCATTTATTCGATCCACAAAGAACAGAGGATCCTGAGAATTTAACTATGTCAATAGTCTTTCTTACATTATTAATTGATTTTAAAAAATTAGTGCCCTTTAAATTTTTTTTTAACTTCTTATTGTTCGTATTAGTTGCCATTTGAGTAGATTCCAACTCATAGCGACTTTATACACAATAGCATGAAACACTGTCTGGTCCTCCACTATCCTCACACTCGTCATTAAGCTTGAACCCACTTTTAGATTAGGAAACAAAAAAAAAAAAAATCAGAAGGAGCCAAATCTGGATTGTAACATATGCCTAATGATTTCTATCAAAACTCTTGCAAAATTACCCTAATGTGATAGGAAGAATGAGCCATTATTGTGGTGAAGAAAGACTAATGAAGCTTTTCCAGATGTGTTTCTGCTATAACTTTGGCTAACTTTTAAAAAATATTCTCATAATAAGATGCTATCTTTCTTTGTCTCTCCAGAAAGTCAACAAACAAAATGCCTTGTTTATTGTTGTTAGATGCCATCAGATCACTTCCAACTCATAGCGATTCTGTGCACAACAGAATGGAACATTGCCCAGTCCTGTGCCATCCTCACAGTTGTTACTACTTTTGAGCTCATTGTTGCTGCCACTGTATCAATCCATTTCATTGGGGGTCTTCCTCTTTTTCGCTGACCCTCCATTTCACAAGTATGACATCCTTCTCCAATGTCTGATCCCTACTGACAACATGTCTGAAGTATGAGAGGAAAAATCTTGCCATCCTGACTTGAGCATCCCCCTTTGCTCATGAATGGTCCACTTTTGTTTTAACTGAACCACTTTAAACTCTTGGTAGCCTTTGCTTTGATTATGGTTTATCTTCAGGGTCATACTAGTAAAACCATATTTTCATATTCTGTTACAATTCTTCAAAGAAATGCTCTAAAATCTTGATTTCATTTGTTTAAAAAATTTTTTTATTGTAGCAACACTTTCATAATATGGTAATTTTAATATTGAAAGTAAATTGTAAATGCATCTTTATAAACAATATGCATAAAATAGATCTATTATTCTAAAACCTTTTCTTTTTAAAATGCTTTTTCACAGTAAATTTCTTAGGTGTCAGATTTTCCCTCACAATAGTGCAATTAGTAGAAGGAAACTTTGTCAGTGATTTAGGACTTCTTTGCTAATACAAGTCCTTGTAGATTTCATGTAGGAGTGGGTGTAGGCTTATGTCTGTCTCTGTTTTCTTTATGACTTGTAATAGCTGCACATGTTCTGTTACAATCTGTCTGAGGTCTGTCATTTTCTGGAGCAGCTTGGCACACAGCTGAGAAGACTCGGGGTGATTCAGCTTGAGCTGGAGCTCCAAGGCTTGCAGCAAGTTGTCCTGTATGTCTTCAGTGGGCTTCACATTCAGCAAACCTGGGTGGTCTCCACTGAGAATAATGACAGCTATAAATATTGCTAGGTCACTGTCATCTAATTCCAGTGCATTGAACTTCACAGCAAACTCAAACTTGGGTTCCATAAAGTCACCAAAGGGCTTCCGCAGGCTCTTCAGAAACCTCCTTGTCATGAACCCTTGGCCCTCCGATATTAGAACCCCATCTTTATTCATTAAGGATGCCAGCATTGTGTATATGATCTCGTGGACACTGTACTTGAGGAGAGTTACTTGGTCATTCAAGTCCAGGCTCACAAAACCAGAAATGCTTTTGGCGTACTCTGTGATCTCCTGCACAGCGTCCACCAAGTGGAACTGACACCCTTGAAAGATGCGGATGGCCACCTCTTTGCTCTGCTCCTGCAAGGGGGTGATGTGTTTGAATTTGATTTTGTCTTCTCCCATCATTAAGGAATTCATATCATAGATAACAAATGGTGACTTGTCTGTTGTCTTTCCCGTAAAGATGGCCCTCGCCTTTGCTTTTGACAGCGGGAAGGACTTTATGTATGAGTCATACATGTGTTTGGTCAGGGCCCAGAGATCAGCAGACTCTGGGTTCAGCTGGTCGATATCGCTGGATATCTCTGCCAACAGCTTCTCCTTCTCAGCCTGTGGCATCCGCCCAGACCTGATGGCATTATGAGACATTCCCACAGCAAGAAATTTTTGAAACCGACAGTACTGACATTTATTTCTACTTTTTTTTTGTGGATCCAACAGTTAAGGTTGCATCTATTATAAATAAACTTCAATCTGATAGTCCTCTGGAAGAAACCCTTGCATCCTTCACAAGCATGAACGCCATAGTAGAACCCAGAAGCTGTATCTCCACAGACCCGGCACTCAACTGCCATGAGGGAGTTGGAAGATTCTTCATGGGGCTTATTATAGAGCTGAGTCTTTTCAGAATAACAAGGCAGGGAGGCAGGTTCCACTTGGATTGTACTTTGATAGTCTTGGAGCTTCAGGTCATACTTATAGTCAGCCACCATTGGGTCTGCTCTTGTGAAGGGAATATTTTCATAGTGTGGGGTAGAAATTAGTCACAAAAGGAGAAATACTGCATTATTGTAAAAAAGTTATCCATTTTTAAACTGCTGATTTCTTTGGGATATTGTTGCCATAAACTTTTCAGAACTCATCAGTGATTTCATCATTCTCCCGCCCAGGCCTCATCATAAATTTAATATTTGCTCCTGCTTTGATTTTAGCAGAATTCATGTTGCTTTGATGGAGGCTCTTTTCAAACTGATGTCTTATCCTTCTTGTTTGTTATGATGTGTCCTGTTCAGACATGTTATAAAAAATTAATATGAATTTCTTTTTGGTGCAAAATATTTTGAAATCCATGCATAGTTTTCCATAATAGGCATTTTCCACAAACTTTCTGGCGCACTCTCAAACACACACTTATAAGAATACAAATAAAATCATACTACACATGCTATTTGGCGTCCTGGTGTGGCGCTGTGGGATAAAGCACTGGGCCACAGGTGGGTTTGTACTAAAAAGGTTGGTAGTTCAAACTCACCAGCCACTCCTCAGAAACCCTACATAGGGTACACAGGGTTGCTGAGTTGGAACTGACTCGACAGCCCTTAACAACAACATGCATACTATTTGAATCATGAACATTTAGCCATGATTATTCCTCTACAACATGATTTTTAATTACTGTATACCTGTGTCCAGTATCATAGTTTAACTAGTTTCTTCTTGCTTCCAATATTATTAAGGATTGCTTTTTAGCTTAGTCATTGGAGAATAGTAAATGATCAATTCTCCCTTCATGCATTCCTTTCTTAGAGAGTTTTTTTCTGGAAAAATTCAACTATTGGGAAGGAGTAGGACTTTAGAGTCAGACAGACCCTGAATTTTAATCTCTACTTGGCCACATACTGGTTGTGTGACATCAAACAGGAATAACTGATATAAAGTACCTACACAAAGGAGTCATTTCTTAATTCCTTTTCTTTCTCTTTTCAAGTATTTTTTTAAATTACAGTGTTGGCCTTGAGGAAATGTGTTAAAAAAAATTTTTTTTAATATTTTTGCATACTGGACAAAATGGAGATAACACATTTTTAATAATCAACTTTTGATTGCTGATACTCATTTTCTGGTTCTCAGTTCTGATCTTTGAAATTATTTTCTCTTTTTCTCCTAGAGATAAGATTTCAGTTTCCACAGCTGACTGGAGTGCTTAGTCTTGCCTTCTTTATTCATAATTGTATTATCACACTGTTAAAGAACAACAAGAACCAAGAAAACAATGTAAGTAATTATTTGTGACTTTTGTGTTTCCTGAGAATGGACATTTTATATTAATATTTGAAGATGCAAAAGACTTCTTTAAAGTTTTCAAGAGCAGAGTTGTCACTTTGAGGACTAAGGTGTGCCTGACCCAAGCTATGGTATTTTCAATTGCTCCATATGTATGGGAAAGCTGGGCAGTGAATAAGAAAGACCAGAAAAGAATTGATGTATTTTAAATTATGGTGATGTGAATAATATTGAAAGTCTCATGAACTGCCAGAACAAACAAATCTGTTTTAGAACAAGTACAGCCAGAATGCCCCACTAGAATGAGGATGACAAGACTTTGTCTTGTATACTTGGGACACGTAATCAGGAAGGATCTATCCCTAGAAAAAACATCATGCTTGTAAAGTAGAGGGTCAGAAAAAAAGACGAAGATCACCAGTGACATGGAATTATGCAGTGGGCTCAAGCATAACAATTGTGAGGATGGCACAGGACTAGGCAGTGTTTCATTCTGTTACGCAAAGGGTTGCTATGAGTCGCAGCTGACTAAGTGGTACCAACCCAACACCAACATCAACCTTTTCCCTTAAGGCACTCGGAAAATAGAGCAAAGAAACTCCAAGCAGCAGAAGTTATCCAGTTACTTGTTGCCTAGTTTGCAAATTGTGAATTCAGGTTAACAGTTCCTAGCTACATGAACAAGTATCATGATTAAGTCTGAAAGAAGTATGTAGAATTATTAATAAAATACATAAAAAGAGTATGTTGTGCCCATGCTTTCTGAGACGGTTTGAGTGGAGGATAATGTTTGGCAGTCATTATAAAAGCAAAAATCTTTCTAAGTAGAGGGAGATTCACTGTCAAATTAGAGCAAGAATGTAAGTCATACTTTTCCTTTATTGTCTATAGCTCCAGCATGTTACCATGAATAGAGCATGAGCTTTAGAATTGAATAAATCTGGATTTTCTACACCTTCTAGTTTGTTGACTGTGCTCCTCCAAATTCATTTTCTTCTGATGTAAAAATAATGTTAATGAAGCTTACCTGTCAGGACTGTAATGAGAATGAAATATTTAAAAATAGGAAATGTATTTAACTTGATCTGGCCTAGGACAGGGCTGGAAAGTTTTAGTTCTTCTGTTCCTCTCCTGCATTGTCTCCTGACATTTATGTTACTCTTAAGTGCCCTGGAGTTGGTTCCAATTCATAGCAATCCTGATAAGGTTTTCCAAGGAGTGACTGATGGATTTGAACTTCCAACCTTGTGGTTAGCCATCCAATGCTTATCTTACAGTGCCACACCAGGACTCTTCCTGACATTTATAGTATTTATTTCCCCTTTTGTTTCTTTCTAAAGGGTTATCTGAGATAACTGTTTTTCACAAAGAATATATTAATTCTTCCACAAGATTCCTTCCTATGACGTTAAATCAAATCACTAACAAAGTACATTATTAAACCATATCAGTTTTGCCCTTCTCTCGTCATTGCATTGGGCATTAGTATTATAACTGGCTTGGCAAGAAGGACTCATGATAATATAAGAAAGCTGTGGTTGAAGTATTGCTTCATTGTTTTATAAGTACTGTAATTAGGATATTCTTCACATTGCTCATCATCTTTTTATACAGAGATCATAATAAGAAATGTTTCTGTCTTCAAGTCTTAAGAAAAATGTTCTCTTAATGAACTATGATTCCTTGTATTAAACAATAAGATTCGCGCATCTAGCTGTTCTTTTTCTATTTTTGCCAGAAGTCTGGAAAACTGAAGGATTAACGTTTCATATTTATTTTTTATAGCTTTTCTTAGGAAAAAAAAAATCTGTGTGTATATGTTTAGTTTTTATCTTTCTACCATTGTAGACTTGACTTTGATCTTGAACATTTTTGGTCTTATTTTACTTAGACTTTTGTCTTATGTCTTTCAAGGAAATCTCAAGAAAATCTTACTGTTCTTAATAACCTTTAAGAACTTTGGAATATGAAAGAAAAATTAAGGATATACTCATTGCCCTTTATTTATAAGTTCCTCCCTCTTCCTTTGCAAATGACCTGTCTGACTCATTACCACCTGAACTACACTACTTACCCTAAGTTTTAGGATGCTTAAAATGATATATAGAAAAATCTATTTTATGTCATAGGAAACAGTGAATCAATAATGTGTGTGTTATATACCTTGGTGCTATCTAAGATTTTAGCTATCCTACTCAACATATAAGTCGGGATGCTAACCTCAAAGACAGCAGTTCAAAACTACCAGCTGTTCCATGGGAGAAAGATGAGGCTTTCTACTCCCATAAAGATTTACAGCCTCAGAAACCCTAAACAGGGTCACTATAAGTCAGAACTGACTCCACGGCACACTACCACCACCACCAATCAACATACTAACTCAGAACAAGTGCCCCAGAAACCATTTTTGAAGTGAGATTCTCATGTATGAGGTCACCCTATCCAAAAGGCCGTGCTTCTCCAACATCACCAAAATCTAATGACAAAGGAAAGCAACCTTGTATTCCTATGAATATGAGGATGAAAATACAATTTTAATGAAATCTTATTTTATCTTAATAACTCAGACATATTTTTATTATGCTTATAATTAGTTTATCTTATTAGAAAATAGTCTTAAAATAATTAACCAGTTATATTACAGGCAGTTCTCACTTTACACAGTTTCCTGTACGTGCTGATTTCAGTTTTCAAAGTATATGAACTGTGAGTGCCTGCATAAAATAAAAACTAGCCCTTCAATCTACAGATCACTGTCGTACAAGAGATGTGAGTGTTGATGAGTGACCAATCACATCATGTCTTTCAGAGCCTGTGCCTGCATTTCTGTTAATTATTTTATGCTCAGATAGCAAAGTAGGGAGTAGTGTTACTGCCTTATCTCCCAGTGATAACACATCTGACATTTTACCAAAACTGGGTCATTGACAGGAGGAATTGGCAAAGGTGAAAGTGCAATACAAAAAGTGATCAAGCTGGAAGTAAAATCTGAATTGAACACAAATGGAGATATAAAAATAATAGATGAGTATGGAGATGTTGAGACTGGTTTCACCCAAGAAACACTAGATTGATATACAGCCAGCAGAACCCAATGAAGGTGAACTCATCAACATAAATATGAAAAAAATGAAGATGTCCCAATGGACACAATACTAGCAAAAATTCCCATTAGAAGAATTTTGAGGGATATTTCTCAACATTGAAAACACACAGAGAAGACATTATAACTGTAGCTAATACTTCAACAAAGAATAGGAAAGATATTTACTCTCTCTTATTCTTAAGCACCGTGGAGTCGGTTACGACTCATAGCGACACTGTGTAGGGTTTCTGAAGCTACAAATCTTTATGGGAGCAGAAAGCCTCCTCTTTCTCATGGAGCAGCTGGTAGTTTCAAACCGCAGACCTTGAGGTTAGCAGCCCAATTCGTAACCACTACGCTACCAAGAGCTCCTTATTTACTCTATATAATAAGTCATATGATGAGACGAAGAAGGCATGTCTGG